CGCATCCTCCGCCTCCTGGGTTCAGGCAATTCTCCTGTCTCAGCCTCCTGAGTAGCTGGGATTACAGGCACGCATCACCATGCCCAGCTAACTTTTTGTATTTTTAGTAGAGACGGGGTTTCACCATGTTGACCAGGATGGTCTCGATCTCTTGACCTCGTGATCCACCCGCCTCGGCCTCCCAAAGTGCTGGGATTACAGGCTTGAGCCACCGCACCCGGCCCGACAATAATTTTTTTAACTGAGATAATTAGGACGATAAAATAAAGAAATGGAAGTTAGATTATTTGTGAGCTCACTGAAGACTACAGCCAAGAACTTTAATCTCAAGAAAGAATTGGAAAGCCCTTCAAAATCCTAAGAAATGCTATTATGTGGTCAAAACTGACTTTGATGACAGCTCTTGCCACTGACGCAGTGTGGGAGAAGACGGAAGATGAGATACTAGAAAAAAATGTCCTCCTTATTCATCAGGAGGACCAAAATAATGACAGCAAAAATTAGAATCAAGTAAATATTTTAAAGAAAAGAGAAATGAGTAAGATCTGTGAATTTTTAAAACAGGTAATTTTTCAAAAAGAAAATTATATAGAATTGCACATTTGTAATACCAATAAAATATCATTCATGTAACGATTTGGAAAATGGAAGAAGAAAATAAATACATCTGTAGTACACTTGTCAATGGGATTCTCAAGTGGAGCTGCCTTGCAGAGGAGAAACCAGAAACAGGTGCCAATATTAAAGGTCAGATCTGAGGTAAGAAACGTAAGTCATCTATGTACCAAAACCAAATCCTCATTTTAAAAAGGATTAATACCCTCAGTACAGTTATTAAGCACTAAATCTTGGCTCAAATATAGAACAGTCTTTGGATGAAAACACAATCCATTCTGAGCTGGTTGAATATATACCTTAGTAAGTAACAGGATTGGATATCCACTTCCCCAATCTTTCCCTTTTAAAGTTTAAAAAACTGACTGTTTTTTGAATGTCTGCTTTAATGACCCAGATAAACAGCAGCCAAGCCTTTGGAAGGAGGCATCTCTAAGCCAGAACAAGAGCTGAGAAACTTGCTGGGTCTTTCTACAGAAAAGCGAGAAAGTGAGAAGGAACCATCTCCTACCACATGCAGTTATTAAAATTAAAATGACCTTTGTCTCTTTCCATAAAAAAAAAACACTGTGGAATTCTTCCACAATTCAAACTGGGAGGAATATGGCAGTAAGGATCTAATTCACTACTTTATAGCTTACTAGCTCCATGATCCATCACACCCCAAACAAAGAATCATGTGGTGGGGAGGGTGGCTAGAACCGTCAAGAAATTTAAAAGCAGTTCTGGCGGAAATAAAATGAAAACTAAAGTCAAAAAAACAGATGTGAGTCTTGCTATTAATTAAAATACCTACTCAAGGATTTCACCTAAGTGTCTTTCTCCCTTCACTTCTGATGGGCTTCATTACATTCTATCCCAAAATATAGCACCTTGGCATTTGCGAAATTGCAGAAGCAGGAAGGTCTCTCTGACTTTCCTCTCAACCTTCACCCTTGAAGGAGGCCGTAATTCTCTGACCTTCCTCCCTGCAGTTGGTCATGAGATCCTCCTTCCAGAGGTGTCCCACCTGTATCTGAAGGATAGAAATATCCTTATCCTCAAAGACACAGGGACTCCAGGAAGAGTTTGAACTGACAGGCCTTGCTAAGTTTCCCCTAGGCTATTTCTATTAGATCACACCCCGTTGTCCTCCAATCATATTTTTCCAAAACTATTCACTTCATCATCAAATAAGTATTTAAAAAATGCACAAGTTGGCCAGGCACAGTGGCTCACGTCTATAATCCCAGCAATTTGGGAGGCCAAAGCAGGCAGATCACTTGAGGTCAGCCTGGCCAAATAATGAAACCCTATTTCTACTAAAACTACAAAAATTTGCCGGGCGTGGTTGTGCACACCTGTAATCCCAGCTACTCGGGAGGCTGAGGTGAGAGAATCACTTCAGCCTGAGAAGTGAAAGTTACATTGAGCCAAGATTACACCACTGCACTCCAGTCTGGGCAACAGAGCAAGACTCTGTCTTAAAACACACACACACAAACACACACACACACACACACACACACACACACACACACACATTTACCTGTTTCTTTGGGTCTTCATTTTCGAAGGTCCCATATTGCATAGAACTTATGTCAAATATATTTATATGCTATTTTCACTTATTAATCCATCTTTTGTTATAAGATTCTCAGCCACGAACTTAGCAACAGATGGGGAAAAAAAAACTTTTCCCTTCTACACTTCCAACATGTGAAAAATAGGTTTAATAAGCTTTTAGAACCAGGACATTTTTCTTCTAAGAATATTTTATTCTTTCACTCATATTACCTTAATATTTATACATATATTCTGCCACGTAAATAACCTCTCCAAATTATGTATCAGTCTGTATGCATCATGTCAAATTTTCAAATCTCCGTATTTCCACTAAGATACATATTCTACTTTGGAATCTTTCTGCACACTTACATGAATAAGTTAAATATCTCTACAAACATATGCAAGTAAAATATTTGTTTCGGGTTATGGTATAACAAAATAATTATATACCAATGCAGTATTTTATTTATTCACATGTGACATTGAAACAAGGTTTTTACACAAAAAACTGGTTTTATTAAAATAAAATTTATATAAATTATGAACAGTCGATTTGTGTGAAAGCCCCTCTTCAGATATATTTTCCACTTGGCTATATGTAACATATACCTTAGCATGAAATAAAATTCCCAAATCATTCAAGTAGTACAACTAATCAATTTGAATTGCATTTTTAGTGTCAAGAAGAAGAAATGTAACTGCTTAAGATTCAGTGGAAGTGACTTCTCATTTTCCTACTCTTTTCACCTCTTAACCTACTTCTCAGCGTTTGCTTCTAAGCAGAGACAGTCCCCCACTGAAGCACTAGCGTGAGGTTTCAGAGCGCTCTGCCTGTTTTACACATGCTGGGGATAAAATGATTGGACTTACGAGTAAGCCCATCAAGACAAAATATTGGGGTGTCAATAACCCTTTTAAAAATGTCCGGTTCTTCAGACAGAGAAAATAAAAATCACCCTTCATTTCTATCCCAGATTCACTTCCAAAAATCAAAAAACTGCCTGGGTCTGTTCTGTGGTATGTATGGTGGCCACATGTGTGTAGGGTCCGCTAGATTTCCTCATTTTTGTCTCTGTCCTGACCAAGAAACACACGGTGCCTTGACCCAACCAGCTGATGGTTTCCTCTGCAGATCTGAACCCCAGCCCAGGCCTTGAACATTCCCAGGCACTGATAAAGGTGTTTAGGTTGTTGCTAGAAACACTGAACGATCAACTGTGCTCCTAAACATGTAGAAGCCAGCCCAGCCCCCATCCAAATTCCTTAGGTCCTCATGTGAACTCCGTCACCCAACCCCCTCGCTAGGGACATGCCCAGGTAGAACATCCCTCATCTCACTGCCCGCCATGAGGACGCTGCAGCTCACACTGTACCTGAGTTCCCCTCATAAACGCTTTGGACCAATCACCCTGCCATTTAGTGCTTCTTCCTTTGGAATCGCCAACTGGCCCCACCTTGGGACGGTTTGGAGCACTCTCTCACGGGAATTCCCCATCAGGTCCAACCCAAGGTCGTGACTCCAGCCTTGGGTTGGACCTGATAGAACAATCTGGCTGTTTAAATTTAATCGAATTGAAAGATTGGTTCTTCAGTCACATCAGTCACCATTCAAGTGCTCAAGAACCACGTGTCTGGTGTTTACCACCTTGCACAACACAAGTACAGAGCATTTCCATCACTGGAGAAAGCTCCACTGGATGGTACTGGGCTGGACCCCAGAGGAGAGGATTCATATAAAAATATGCTACTATATGCATATTTTCCTTCTTAGTCATAAAAGCTGCTTGGTTTTCTTGGTTGTTATTATTGTTGTTGTTTTGTTTTTGAGGCAGGGTCTCACTCTGTGACCCAGGCTGGAGGGCAGTGGCAGAGTCCCAGCTCACTGCAGCCTCAGTCTCCTGGACTCAGGTGATTTTCCCACCTCAGCCTCCTGAGTAGCTGGGACCACAGGCATGTGCCACCACACCTGGCTATTTTTTTGTATTTTTTGTGGAGATGACGTTTTGCCACAATGCCCAGGCTGGTCTTCAACTCCTGGGCTCAAACAATCCGCCTGCCTCGACCTCCCAAAGTGCTGGGTTTATGGGTGTGAGCCACCATAACCTGCCAAAGTTGTTTGTTTAAGCTTATTTTCAACACCATCAGCCACAATCTGTTCATTTTAGCCCAAGAGAGCGGTGTGAAAATAAAAGATTGTGTCTAATTTCTCCAAATCATGTGATGCCACGTAAGAGCCCAAAGTCCTGTTACGAATCTCGCCTTTGCCAAATCAAACACGGTCCCATGGCTCCCTCTGCACTGAAGCATCTTTGCTATGGGTGGAGTCGTCCTGTGGTACCCACAAGGAAGCCTTGCTAGGAACTCCTTATCAGTGTGGACTGGTCATCTCTGTTACCCTATATGGCCATCTTGGAGGAAGGGACTCTGAGAGCATTGCCTCTGCTCTTTACTGAGGTGTGTCCCACAACTGCCAAGGTGACCACTCAGGTCAGGATGGCCATCCATGCAGGCCATTCAAGACTTCCCATGAACAGCCAGTCCCACACTTCCTTAGCTAGAGCTCCCCACACACCATCTGAGCATCTCATGCGGACATTGTAGCCTTTCTTTCTACCTTCAAGGCCCAGCTCGTACCTAACAAGTCTTTCCTGAGAGCCTGCACTTGACAAAATTTAACTTAAAACACATGGAAACAGCAGTTTATGTAAACTCAAGAAAGATTATTCTCAGTAAAAGAAATATTAAACTCTTTCAAAATGACAAAATAAACTCTCATCTGATTAGTCCCACATAAATGCTCTCTTCACAATCCCTTTATCTTTTATTTTTTTGAGATGGAGTCTGGCTCTGTCACCCAGGCTGGAGTGCAGTGGCACAATCTTGGCTCACTGCAACCTCCGCCTCCTGGGTTCAAGAGATTCTCCTGCCTCAGCCTCCTGAGTAGCTGAGAATACAGGAGCACGCCACCAGGCCTGGCTAATTTTTGTATTTTTAGTAGAGACAGGATTTCACCATGTTGGCCCAGCTGGTCTGGAACTCCTGGCCTCAGGTAATCCACCCACCTTGGCCTCCTAAAGTGCTAGAATTACAGGTGTGAGGCTCCGGCCCGGCCCCTTTATCTTGTGGTTCCTGAAAACAATGCACTCAACTTCAGTATTTGGTCTTTCCATTATAATTCTTAAAAATAAGACATTTTAAAACATACTAAATGTGCATTACTTGGAAGTAAGTGTATGCAAATGAACCTGGAAATAGCAATATATAAACCAATTTTTCAATTCTCCAGTCCATAGAGGGAGGTATTCATGTACTTGACATTTGAAAACCATTTTTTCTAGCAACTACGATAGTGGTTTCTAGACTGTGTTCTTAAGCACAAACCATTCTACCTGTATGACATGACCGTAACAAAGATTTACAGCTCCAGAGAAGAATGAGATTTGCAGTCTTCTGTTGGATATCAAAGTTGAAGGCTAAAAGACACTTTGGTGGTATAGCTGGGAACAGATTCTGTAACAAAAAGAAAAAAATATGCTCAATCCTTCACCACTTTATTATCAAATCTAACCACATGCTATGACCTATGCCAATACACACATTATTGCCATTTCATGTTTTAAGTCTGGAGATACTGTATAGGTGATAAATAATGCATTTTTCACCATTAGGTCACCCATCACAAATGTGTAGTCAAGCTTTTTTGTTCTTGTTGCCCAGGCTGGAGTGCAGTGGCACAATCTCGGCTCACCGCAACTTCCACCTCCTGGGTTCAAGCGATTCTCCTGCCTCAGCCTCCCAAGTAGCTGGGATTACAGGTGCCTGCCACTACACCCAGCTTATTTTTGTATTTTTAGTCGAGACAGTGTTTCTCCATGTTGGTCAGGTTGGTCTCACACTCCTGACCTCAGGTGATCCGCCCTCCTCGGCTTCCCAAAGTGCTGGGATTATAGGTGTGAGTCACTATGCCTGGCCTATTTTGATTTTAAAAGCTAATTATTATTGCTGGCCACATAGATCTAAAACTTAACACCGATTTTCTTTCTTTCTTGTAGTTTTACATAGTAGCATTACAATATAATTGTGAATAGATTGAGTAAAATAGAACATTAAAGGTTCTCAAAGAGGAAAATCATACAACCCAAAGATAAATTTTGACCCATAAATGGTTTTGTTATTTCAGTTTCACATTTACAATAAATTTCTAATTTATTTCATATTAGTTCAGCATTCAAAATTAGGGATATCCAAACAGATTGAAAGTAACCACATAGTTTTGCTGAAGAACATTTTAATTTGCCCAATAAATGAACTTTTCATAATTTCTGACTATCTGAATCAGACTAATCATCTCAGGGAGGGGCATCCGCACGCGTGCATTTTCTGGGGGTGACTGAGGGAGCCTGTCCACAGATGCTCATCTTCAGAGGTCCAGGGCCAGTCCTGATTCCTCGCTAAGTTCACATGCGGGACAACATCTCTCTTGCTGCCAGGTCTGCACCTAGCTCATCAAAGAACTGAAAATTTAAGGGATAACTCTCAGGCATCCACATCCAGAAAGGAGGCGGTGATTAGAAGACTGAAGACTGATGTATGCCTTTTTCCTGGGGATGCCACCTTGTGATGAAAGGAAGGGCTTAAGGCTTCCAGAACATCATTAGGATCTCTTCACTCTTTGGGAAACAGCTGCTAGAATCTGGCACTGGGAAAAAGACTTCCCACCATTTCCAGAGGTACTTGACCCCCTCGCCCCTCTGTATTCTCACCACCCTATGTAAATCAAAACTAAATGCATCTTTGCACGAATCGGCCATCCTGTGTCTGCTCTTTTGCGATTTTTCATGTAAGTATTCTTGATTTATGTGAGATAACTTTTTCAAAATATGAATTTAAATGGATTTGCAATGTAATCTTATTTTTCTAGTAACTTAGGATACTATTTTGTCAATATTGGTTAGTTAAAAATTGACATATGGTTAGTTATGTAACCCTCACATTTTAAGTGCACATTTCCCAGACTCTCTGTCAAACAGTGGCTGATTCATTGAGCATTCAAATGAACTAGGACAATTTGATATTTTAAGGAAATGTATCATTTGGGGTGTTTTGGAGGATAAATAGAAAAATAATTTACACAGTAACATGGCTGGGTGTGGTGGCTCACGCCTACGATCCGGCACTTTGGGAGGCCGAGGCAGGTGGATCACAAGGTCAGGAGTTTGAGCCCAGCGTGGCCAACAGGGTGAAACCCTGTCTCTACTGAAAATACAAAAATTAGCTGGGCCATGGTGGCATGCACCTGTAATCCCAGCTACATAGGAGACTGAGACAGGAGAATCGCTTGAACCCGGGAAGCAGAGGTTGCAGTGAGCCAAGGTCACACCACTGCACTCCAGCCTGGGCAACAGAGTGAGACTCTGCCTCAAAAAAAAAAAAAAAAAGTAAATATATAAAACAAAAATTAAAAAATACGTGCCAGGCGCGGTGGCTCAAGCCTGTAATCCCAGCACTTTGGGAGGCCGAGGCGGGTGGATCACGAGGTCAAGAGATCAAGACCATCCTGGTCAACATGGTGAAACCCTGTCTCTACTAAAAATACAAAAATTAGCTGGGCACGGTGGTGCACGCCTGTAGTCCCAGCTACTCGGGAGGTTGAGGTAGGAGAATTGCTTGAACCCAGGAGATGGAGGTTGCGGTGAGCCGAGATCATGCCATTGTACTCCAGCCTGGATAACAAGAGTGAAACTTTGTCTCAAAAAAAAAAAAAAAATTAAAAAATACAAAGTAACATGCCACTCAACCAATAAACTTTTTGTCAATTTGACGTTTATTAACAAATGTGTTACATAAGTGGAAGTCTATGTATTCATTTTAAATAATATTAAATATGAGTAACCCACCTCTTTCTTTAAGGTCTTCAATATAGGCTTTCATGAATTCTTTATCAAAATGTTGGCGATCTCGTTCACTCTCCATTATTTCATCGCCATCTTGACATTGGGCATTATCAATAGGATTGTCCATAAGGCTTACAAATCTATTCAAGAAAGCAAGAAAAATATCACATTATCATCTGTGCATTTTCAATTGCAAAATTCCTCACATAAGATAACCTCTGTTATCCCAAGTTCTGGTTTTTAGAAAGAGTCTTGCTCTGTCATCCAGGATGCAGTGCAGTGGTGCACAATCATAGCTCACTGCAGCCTCAACCGCTCAAGCTCAAGTGACCCTTGCTCCTCAGCCTTTCAGGTGGCACATGTCACCATGCCAGGCTTTTTTTTTTTTTTTTTGAGACAGGGTCTCACTTTGTTGCCCAGCTTGGAGTGCAGTGGTGTGATCACTGCTCACTGCAACCTCAAACTCCTAGGCTCAAGCAATCCTCCTGCCTCAGCCTCCCAAGTATCTAGGACTACAGGGACATGCCACCATGCCTGGCTAATTTCTTAAATTTGTGTAGAGACAGGATCTCACTCTGTTGCTCACACTGGTCTCGAACTCCTGAGCTAAAGCAATCCTCCTGCCTCACCCCACAAAGGTTTAGGTTACAGGCATGAGCCACTGTGCCCAGCCACACTATCATTCTTGATAAGGCAAGCTCTATCACATTACTCTTATTTTCTAAAATTATTATTACTCTCCTTAGCTTTGATCTTTTCACAAATACTGTCAAATTCATTTTTCAAGCTCCAAAAAAGGGAGTTATGATTGGAATTATATTACACTTAAGTATAATTTTTGGAAGAAATCACATCTTCACAACCTTTCACCTAAAAAAGATACATTATGCCTTTTTCAAATATTTAAGACTTATTTATTATTCTTTGGGAAGACGGTTTAATACTCTTCATGTAAGAGAACTATTTTCATTAAAGGTTTTCCTAGATATTTTATATTTTCAATTATTATTATTAATGTCATCATTTTTCCATTATTTTTTACAGGTTATTTCTAAGAAATTAGTAAGCTATGAAATTTTTATGCAAACTTGTATCAATTCTTTTTATTGCACTTTCAGTAATTCAAAGAGCTTCCATCTGATTCTCTTAGATTTCTGAGTCCACAATTATATCATTTGAAATTACTTTAGTTTGGTGACAGGTTTACCCTGACTGACTGCTACTGGACTTGAAGCTGCCAAGCCTGCTTCCCGGAGCTGGATGTGGAAGGGGCTCTCGGGAGGAGTCCTTCCTGCTAGCACTCTCACCAGTGCTCCTCGTCCATTTCAAACAAGATTCCACACGCAGCCAATCACAGTGGAAGACCTATTCTAGTGGAAGGAGTGGAGTAGGGCAGGTGCGAGCTGTCTTACACCCTGCTAATCTTGTGCTTATACAGATACGAAGTTGGGCTCTTTCTTTCCAGCAGTCAAACTGCTCTTTTTGTTTGCCATGCACTTATTGCAAGGACAGGAAGGTCAGATTGAACTCTGTGGATACTAAGCACGTGTGCTGAAGAACTAGGGGTCCTGGGGAAATAGTCTCTCTAATGGTTGTGTTAACAATCACCTGGTGTTCAAGGTCGATAAGTCTCTGGACAGAGAGAAGGTTGCCTAGTGTAAAGAATGTGGGAAGGGCCCAAACTGCTGGGGATGGACTGAAAAAAAAAAAAAAAAAAAAAAAAAGCAGCCAAAGCTCCAGATTCTGGGAGGATGTGCTGCCAGGGAGCCATCGGGTGCGTTGGAGTCATTTCAGGGGAGGGCGGAGCCAGAGCTTTTCAATTTCACTTCCATCTCACCCCAGATTGGAGGCTGTTTGGAGTATATTTGCATGGATGTTTTTCCTTAGTTGTGGGTGGTTTATAGGTTCACTTAAAGAAACCTAAAGAAGGGTGAAGCAGCCAGGGAGGGTCCTTTTAACATCTACTGACCCCTCCAGGCCAGTAGCGGTGAGAGCACTGAGTGAGAGACCATGGGCCCCGGACATATGTCCCTCAACACCGTCAAGCAGCAAGCAGCATCTGTCCAGAAATCCTCTAAGCCCTATGCCTCCTCCTCGTGCCATATGCCACGAACTCCAAAATCCTGTAAAAAGTCACCAGAACTTCTATGAGTTGGGATCAGGTTCTCAGAGTACGAGGGGCTCCAGTGCACCTCATCCTTACCTGTGTCTGAGTGCATCTACTGGGATTTCTGGGCTACTCACTTTAAAGGTGTAGATGAGTCACAAAGGGCAGTTGGGAGCTCCACCAAATGGTCCCCACTGACGACTAACAGGGTGAGCTTCTTCAGGTTCAGCATGGAGTAGGGAAGGTAGGTCAACTTGTTTTTATACAAGAGAAAGCTCTGCAGCTCTTCTAGCCTAAGAAGAGGCAAAAAGGATCAGAACACACGGACTTAGCATCACAGCCAAGAAAACCAGCATGAATCACAAATAAATTCCAACAGGAAGTCCCTGCTTTATTTATACATGTGACCTTTATGAGAACCGACTTATTCTAAGTTTTGACAGGGTCTCACTACGTTGTCCAGGTTGGAGTTCAGTAGCAAAATCTCGGCTCACTACAGCCTCAACCTCCTGGGCTCGAACGATCTTCCCAACTCAACCTCGTGAGTAGCTAGGACTACAAGCACACGCCACCATGCCTGGCTAATTTTTTGTATTTTTTTTGTAGAGACAGAGTCTTGTCATAGTGCCCAGGTTGGTCTTGAACTCCTGGGCTCAAGCAATCTGCCTGCCTCGGCCTCCCGAAGTGTTGAGATTACAGGTGTGAGGCACTGTGTTTGGCCTGAGTTTTAAATAACTAATGTCATACCAGGCGACATGATTTTTTGTGAGTTTTTACTGACTTAATCACCAGTTGAAGACACAGCTATAGCAGCTGGATAAGTATACTGCACAACACACGCTAGGCCGTGATGGAGCCTCAAACATCAGTATGTCCCTTGTAAGAGTCTACTGCATTTACAAGGGTTAGCAGGCATGGGAAGACAGTCATACTAGAACTGAAGTGAGAATAAACAGATTTTAGCAATGTACTTCTTTCTTTTTTTAATGATAGAGACGGGGTCTCACTATGTTGCCTAGGCTTGTCTTGAACTCCTGGCTTCAAGCAATCCTCCTGCCTTGGCCTTCCAAAGTGGGATTACAGGCAAGAGCCACTGTGCCCAGCCTCCTCCTGTACATCTTTAAAGCACAGTTACCCTTCTCTCATCACATTGTCTAACTTTAAAACAGGAAGACAACTGCAGAGTGAAAAGTAAATGAGCAAAATATGTTCTAGGTATGTCTTATTCTGTTTTCCATTTTATTCTAACTCAGTGGCTTCCCCCTGGGAATTTTTCTTTCATTTATTTGTAAAACTTTGGCTAATCTCACAAACATTTCATTTCATAAAGTTCCCATGTTTCAAACTAAAAGATTCCCTCTTAGTCTCAAAACCCTAGAAAGCATCAATACACATCGCATGTACCAGGACTAGAGAAAGGTCATACAGGTTGACATTCAGGCCTAAGCCATTGCTGTCATCTGTGTCATAATAGCTTGCTTGTGTTTCTTTATAAAAAAAAAGATTGTAGGCCAGGCACAGTGGCTCATGCCTGTAATCCCAACACTTTGGGAGGCCAAAGCAGGAGGATCACTTGAGCCCAGGATTTCAAGACCAGCCTGGGTAATACAGCAAGACCTTTTCTCTACAAGTAATTTTTTTAAAAATTAGCCAGGTGTGAATAGCACACATCTGTGGTCCCAGCTACTTGAGAGGCTGAGGTGGGGGAAGTGCTTGAGCCCAGGTGATCGAGGCAGCAGTGAGCCGTGACAGTGCCACTGCACTCCAGTCTGGGCCAGCAAGACTCTGTCTTAACAAAAGGATTGCAGATTTCCAGAATGCCAGAGACTGCGTTTCATTTACTGCTTTAAACCTGTCCCATTCTCTGGGCTTGCCATACAGGAGCCTAATAACTTATAAATGAATGACTGAATCTTCCATGATTCAGTGTAATTCTTATTTTTAAAAATATGAAATAGCTACAAGAATATAATTTGAGCCAGGCACAGTGGCTCATGCCTGTAATCCCAGAACTTTGGGAGGCCAAGGCAGGAGACTGCGCCCAGGAGTTTGAGATCAGCTTGGGAAACAAAGCAAGACCCTGTCTCAACAAAAAATAAAAAAATTAAACTATGCATATTTTTAATTGTAATCAATATAATTTGAAAACCTGGATAAGCATATCAATTTGTTTGAAAGTTTATGTATAATGAATCAATAAATGAAACTAATAAAAATTGTCCTCATTGATATTCTAAATGTAACATAAAGTGACATGTTTCCATTCTATATTTAATAAATAACTTTTCTACTTCTGAAGAGTGAAGGAAAGTTAATGGTGCCATTCTACAGAAGACTAAAGCAAATTAAAGGTCATCAAAGCAATGAAGATGTGCTCAAATGCACATAAACACATACATGTATGATGTGGCAACTGTCTTGGTCTATACTTTCCTTGGAAACTGATTTCCTGGAAACAACGAATTCTGGAAAATTAGTTAATTCCAAAGAACTTTCATGTACTATACATGTTTTAAATGTTAACAGTGTTTGAAGCGTTAGTAACTAATACATACACCTCACCTTAGAATGCAAGTAGCTACCTGTCTATATCTTGCGGCAGGTCAGTCAGGTTATTGTTGCTGATATCCAACCACTGCAAATTAGACATCCGCAGGACACAGATCGGGACGCTGGAAAACTTGTTTGCTGAGATATCTACAAAGGTAACTTGCTTCAAATTACTTAACTAGAAAAGAATAACAAAATGTTCTAATTACTTTTATAAGAGTGGGAATTAAGTTCAACTAATAATTGTTAGATAAATGTTTCTTCCCTAAAGGCATTTCTATGAATACATGCAAAACAGATCAATACAGTACGTATTTTGGAGCACCCTTTATGTGTCATTCACTGTGTACATGTAGGGAAGCTAAGAGAAGTGGTACGCTGGGCTGCCCTCCAGGAGTTTATATTGCTATGAATTATCAGTGCAGGCTAGACGTGGTGGCTCATGCTTCTGATTCCAGCACTGGGAGGAGGAGGTAGACAGATTGCTTGAGCCCAGAAGTTCAAGACCAGCCTGGACACCATGGCAAAACCCCATCTCTACAAAAAATACAAAAGTTAGCTGGGTGTGGTGGTGTACACCTGTAGTTCCAGCTATTTAGGAGGCTGAATTGGGAGTATTGCTTGATCCTGAGAGTTTGAGGGTACAGTGAGCTATGATTGAGCCACTCTACTCCAGCCTGGGTGACCAAGCGAGACCCCGTCTTGAAACAAATAAAAAAAAATAATCAGTGCAATTTTATGTAGCAAGAACTAACGTGAAGAAGTTTTCAACTTGCAATGTTTGGTAACAAAAAAATATATGGCTAATCTGCCCAACATCACAGTGGGGTAAGAGCCAGGAGTCAGAAAAGATTTCACAGAGAATGGAGCATTCACATCGGGTCCTGAGGTGCCCTGACAGGTGGAAAGAAGGAAAAGGAGGTGAGGGAGCCACATGCACAACATCACAGCAGACAGGAAGTGCCCATCGTGAGCAGTAGAATGACTTACCGGAGATGGCATTGACAAGTTTTGGCTAATGACCAGGAAGCTCTACTGCTTGTTTTATACCCATAAAACTTCTATTTTTAACATATAACTGAAATACATATAGAAATATTTTTATTTCAAATGAAAATCTATAAATATTGAATAAAGCAGGAAAAGTATCTTGCAGTTGGATGTGGTTTTGTAAGTTTAGTGATACTATGAAACATAGAAGAGTTATCTTTTTTTTTTTTTTTTTTTTTGAGACGAAGTCTTGCTCTATGGCCCAGTCTGGAGTGCAGTGGCGCAATCACTGCTCACTGAAGCCTCCACCTCCCTGGTTCAAGCGATCCTTCTGCCTCAGCTTCCCAGGTAGCTGGGAGTACAGGTGCCTGATGCCAGCTAGTTTTTGTATTTTTCGTAGAGGCAAGGTTTCGCCAAGTTGGTCAGGCTGGTCTCAAACTCCTGACCCCAAGTGACCCACCCACCTCGGCCTCCCAAAGTGTTGGGATTACAGGTATGAGCCACTGTGCCCAGTCTGGAGCTACCTTTGATTGAATTGTTTTGAGAACCCATGAATAAAATCTGAGCTGACTCTCAGGATACACCTTCAAAATTGTTATGAACTATGGAGCCAGGTGGACCAGTAGGAGGTATTATTGAAATGTAAAGGGAAAAAAAGTATAGACACAATTTAGCTTAATATAAAACCCGATTCCATATTGCCAGATTTGCTTTAGTGAGACACAGGCCAGATTCATCCTATTGTATAAGACATTCTAATTTTGCTTGTTTTGAATTTAGAAAATGAATGTGAAGGCAGTAATGTGACGGTGGACAATCAGTCAAGAGAGAGTTTGGGAGCTCATACTTCAGTCTAAAGCTTCTGACCGCGCTGCCAGGGTGATCAGATCAGTAGAAAAATACAGACTGAATTGCCATTACTCTCTTCTTTTTTCTTTTTACAGTAAATGTAGAAAATGTATTTTTAGAATGTAAAATATCTTACTGAAGATATTTAAGGAAACAATTTAAGACTTTCATGAAAATTAGAATAAGAAAAATCACAATGGCATTGGATCTACAAGTTCTGCTATGAAAATATAAAAAATTTTACTCCTTTTATTTTCTTTTTTTTTTTTTTTTTTTTTTTGAGACGGAGTTTCGCTCTTGTTACCCAGGCTGGAGTGCAATGGTGCGATCTCGGCTCACCGCAACCTCCGCCTCCTGGGTTCAGGCAATTCTTCTGATTCAGCCTCCTGAGTAGCTGGGATTACAGGCACGTGCCACCATGCCCAGCTAATTTTTTGTATTTTTAGTAGAGACGGGGTTTCACCATGTTGAGCAGGATGGTCTCGATCTCTTGACCTCGTGATCCACCTGCCTCGGCCTCCCAAAGTGCTGGGATTACAGGCTTGAGCCACCACACCCGGCCCTTATTTTCAATTTTACCATTGTGGATAAATAAATCAGGATCTGCATTATAGACAACAGGTATCATATATTACAAGCATCGACAATCACTAAATAAAAATTTATTGTGTGGTGTTTTCCTTGGTTTTCCTTTGATAGCATTTCTGGACTTAAATTCAGGCTCTGGCCTCGTATAAAATGTTTTTAAAGAAGGGCAGGTGCAGTGGCTCACATCTATAACCCCAGTGCTCTGGGAGGCCAAGGCAGCTGGATCACCTGAGGTGAGGAGTTCGAGACCAGCCTGGCCAACATAGTGAAACCCCGTCTCTACTAAAAATACAAAAATTAGCCAGGCATGGTGGTGATGCACACCTGTAGTCCCAGCTACTCAGGAGGCTGAGGCAGGAGAATTACTTGAACCCAGGAGGCAAAGGCTGCAGTAAGCCAAGATCGCACCACTGCACTCTAGCCTGGGTGACAGAACAAGACTCCATCTCAAACAAAAAAAAAAAAGTTTTAAAGACCAGTATAGTGTGATTGAAATGTCAGGAAAAGGTGGTATAATAAAGATGGATTTCATATGTTAAAACTTCTTGCCATGTTATAGACCATCCCATGTAATAAACCAAATAAAAGTAAATCATAGTGCAGAAATGTTTATTTCTTACTTCAAAGGGCAGCTCCGTTAACTCTAGATTTCCAGAACAATCCAGTCTGTCTAGATTTTCACAGTCTCCCAATTCTGGAGGAATGCTCTTCAGATGGTTAAAACTGACATTGAGTTCCTTCAGGTTCTTCAAACAACCTGTCATCAGAAAATGTTACCATCAAATATCATAAGCCGAGAATGCACTTAATAGATCTAACCTAACAAACATCACAGCTTCACCTAGCCTACCTTAAACATGCTTGGAACACTTACATTAACCTACAGTTGGGCAAAATTACCTACCATAAAGCCTATTGTATAACAAAGTGTTAAATATCTTCTGTAATGTATTGAATACTACACTGAAAATGAAAAGTAGGATGTTTGTATGGGTACTCAAAGTACAGATTGCCCCTTCCCTCCTTCCCTCCTTCCTTCCTTCCTTCCTCCCTCCCTCCCTTTCATTTTTTCTCTTTCTTTCCCTTCATTTATTCCTTCCCTCCTTTCTTTTCTTAAATTTTTTAAACTTTAAGTTCTGGAATACATGTGCAGAACCTGCAGGTCTGTTACATGGGTATTCATGTACCACGGGGGTTTGCTGCACCTACCAACCCGTCATCCAGGTTTTAAGCTCCGCATGCATCAGGTATTTGTCCTAATGCTCTTCCTCCCCTTGCCCCCTACCCCCCGACAGGCCCTGGTGTGTGATGTTTCCCTCCCTGCGTTCAAGTGTTCTCGTTGTTCAACTCCCACTTATGAGTGAGAACATGGGGTATTTGGTTTTCTGTTCCAGGCTTGGTTTTACATTTTACACCTTTCTAGACTGTTTGAATATTTTTCCCTGCACATTAATGAGGTCTGTGGGGATGACATCATGTCTCCAACAGGACTCAAGTGCCTTGGAATAATCACTTGACTAATCACTTGGAATAACAACTATGTAACAAATATGTTGGTGTTTATTGCCTTATCTAATCCTCACAACAACTAAATGACAACAACCATTATCCCTACTTTACAGATGAAGAAACTGAAGAGCAGAGAGATTAAGTATAGCGCCTCAATCCCACATTGGTCTCCCGTGGATACCCCTCACTCACCAAGCTCTACTCCTCCTCCGAGTATGCAAGGATAGCATCCTCACTCCCTCACCAGTGGTCTCAACCATGGCTGCACATGGGAATCATGCAGGGAATTTTTTAATGCTGGTCTGCTGTGGGCCTTGGGCATTTAGATTTTTAAGGGTCTTTGGGGGATTCTAAGGTGTAGCCAGGGTGAAAACCACTGCTCAAATCAAACTGGCTCACAAGGCAAGATTGGATATCACATTGGTGTAGTGTGGGAAGTTAAAAAGAACAGATGTTAATCTGGCTGGCAATAATTTCAAGGAAGACATTTCAAGAAATGAACAAAGATATATATTAAGTGGAGCACCTCTGATGAAATTTCAGGCAACTGTGAGCCTGACTCATCCCATGGTGATGCTCTGACACCCCCACTTTTGACGGCTCCATGCTTAATACCACATCTGTCTTGCTGCCAACCGCTGGATTCCCAAGCCCAAGTGACAGGATAGCAAGGATCCCTGAGTCTAGGTCAACCTCTGTGGCTCCTCAGATGCATAAGGACAGAATCTTTCTACTTGAAAAGATTTTTTGTTTGTTTGTTTGTTTTGAGACAGGGTCTCGCTCTGTCACCCAGGCTGGAGTGCAGTGGTGCCATCACTGCTCACTGCAGCCTCAACCTCCTGGGCTCGAGAGATCCTCCCACAGGCACGTGCCATCATGCCTGGCTAATTTTTTACTTTTTGTAAAGATGGGTTTTCGCCATGTTGCCCAGTCTCAAACTCCTAGACTCAAGCAATCTGCCGGCCTCAACCTCCCAAAGAGCTGGGATTCCAGGCATGCACCACCATGTCCAGCCTAAAAAGGCTTTTTAAAAGCAACTCAGTCCTCAGAAACGCTACCCAGTTATTTAAATATACTATGAGCTTGCCCCAAAACGACCTGCAAATAGTGAAATCTGGCTTCTGGCCCAGGCTCTAAAGAAGTTCCTTAGTGTAATATCTAAATGATAATGATTGAGTCAGCTAACACCAGTGGAACCTAGTCTCTCAAATTTGCAAAATAAAGGGGCAGAAGGTAAATGACCCCTAACATGTTAAAAATGGTGAGGGAAGGTGTTCTTTCTCTGGGTCCACAAGGGGGCGTAGTTTTAAGGGCAAGAACTTCCTAGTGCCATGCCACCCTCCCGTCGATCTCCATCCGGGACATTAAATGGTTTATGTTTCAATTTCATGGGCACAGGAAGAAACTAAGAGTCAATCACTCCAGCAGAAGTTCTAAGGAACTCCTTTCATCGGCCCGGGGTCTTAGAGAAGGTGGGGGTTCCTCCCAGGTTAAAAGTCCCCTTCTTCCACGTCCCTCCGGACTCCCACGTTTGGGTCCCCTTCCAGGAACACGCTCGTGGCAGTCTGCCTTCCCCTCCCAAACTCCATCTCTCTCTATTCCCTTCCACGCAGTGTGGAAGCTGCCTTCCTCTCCTGGATTCCATCCTTCTGGATTCTCTCGCTCAGTGTGAGAGGAGCTTTCCTCTGGTTTTCCCCCTCTGGGAACCCTTCTCACTCAGTGTGAGAGCGGCTTTTCTTTCTCTCAGTGTGAGAGTTAGCTGTTTCACTCTCCTTCTCCTTTTTCTCTCTCAAAATAAATCACTTTCTACAAACACTTTTGAGTCCAGCATTGGTCCCTTCTCATTCTTGAGAGGGCGGGAGACCAAGAACCTGGAGAAACATCCTCTCAGGGGAGCTGGAGGCACCCTGAACCCCAATATTACAATGGTACTTTTCAGTCATAAAAATTCTAAGGTGCTTTCTACCTTTCCAGGAACTGGGCAAGGAAACAGAAGTTCTTGTCCTTGTTGGGTCTAGAATTTGATTTTACCCTGATTAGAAGCTAGTAATCTTGCCAGGTCCTGTTTCATGGATACCGGCAGAAGACATGAGGCTCCTGGTCCAAGACAGGGTATTCATGTCAGTTCTCCTTACAGCCAAGCCTACTAAGCGTGATACAGATGTCCCGGACAGATGCTATGCACATATACATCACAGCGGAGAACACCGAGCTCGGGGAACCCACTGCTTTTACAGCAAGTGGTTAGCAAGGTTGCTCTTTGCCTGGGGGCAGGTGTTGCTTCATTCCTCGAGGTTAGTACGTGCATAAACAACTGCAAGATTGGCTTGGGTAAGAAGGTGGTCAGAGCCTTGTAGTCCTGACACAGCCAGCAAGACGTATACGAACACCAGAGTCCCCACAAGCCACCTCTGTCCCACAGGATCTTGGCTTCTGGTAAATTTTCACATAACTATGCGAAACCACTGGTCCCAGGGCATGTGTGTGAGAATGGAGCTCTATGCAGCCCCAGACCTTCACTCCTCACACCCCAGGAGAAAGAGAAGCAATAATGATCACCGTCACTTTCATTTTAAATAATACAACTGACTAATGACAGAGAATTATAAAAATTTTGATCTATTAAAAAGACAGCAGTCTGGGCATGGTGGCTCACACCTGTAATCCCAGCACTTTGGGAGGCCAAGGCTTGTAGATCACCTGAAGTCAGGAGTTTGACACCAGCCTGACCAACATGGTGAAACCCCATCTCTACTAAAAAAAAAAAAAAAAAAAAAAAAAAAAATGCAAAATCAACCTGGCGTGGTGGCACAGGACTATAATCCCAGCTATTTGGGAGGCTGAGACAAGAGAATCGCTTGAACCCAGGAGGCAGAGGTTGCAGTGACTGTGCCATTGCACTCCAGCCTGGGCAACAAGAGCAAAACTCTGTCAAAAAAAGACATTATAAGCTAAACTAGATTTATCAATGGACTAATACAGGAACAATCCATTCCATTTATAATAAGCATATTGCATGTTTATAGGTTTAAAACTAAACGAAAATAAACACAGGGTTCCTAAACAAAGTATTGCTCACTCATGAGACTTCTGGTTTCTGAGGAATTGGCAAGTGTCCCACGTGCTGAGTTATACAGGTGAGATGCTGACCTCGTGGCCTGAAGGGATGCTGCAGAGAAGCAGCTCTGGGGAGCCTTGAAACAGCCCTGTCTAGCCACTTCCTGGGGCGGCTGGAGAGGAAACGCGGTGTCTGTACACTGTCTGTCACCTGCCCGACGCTGCCTGCTTAACACACAACAGGCCCAAAGGCCCCTGCTAAGTTGACATACCGATTTCTGCTGGAAGATGTGAGATTTGGTTTCTTGGCAGATGCAGAATTCTCATGGCTTGAAACAGCTCAATATATGTAGGAATGATTTGAATCAGGGTATCGCTTATGTGCCATTCTCTCAGGTGTGTCTGCTCCTTCAATGAATCTGGGAGCTCCTAAAATAGAAAGAATGACATCAGTCAGGACCAGCCCCTCCGTGTGCACAAAGCCATGTAAAGCCAAGCATTTATTTTAAAATGGTAAGTAAGAAAGCAGACATGAGAGCGTGAAGCATAACCACCAGCACTCCAGCCATTTCCAAAAGAAACCAAAGACACCAGAGCTGTCGTAAACTTTACAGCAGTACATTAGCCCTATTTCAAAACTGCAGTAAATTCACGATGTTATTAAAATCAAATCCTAGTGAACACAAACAACCAGACTCACACTCAGAGCCACCATTTGCAACATACAAATGTAACATCCCCTAAAGTATGTCTATACACTAGACTTCAAAATTTGTGCTTCGTTTCCTTTTCTCTATAGTAGTTGCTTTTAGAAATACTTAATAAACCGCCGGGCGCGGTGGCTCAAGCCTGTAATCCCAGCACTTTGGGAGGCCGAGGCGGGTGGATCACGAGGTCAACAGATCGAGACCATCCTGGTCAACATGGTGAAACCCCGTCTCTACTAAAAATACAAAAAATTAGCTGGGCGTGGTGGCGCATGCCTGTAATCCCAGCTACTCAGGAGGCTGAGGCAGGAGAATTGCCTGAACCCAGGAGGCGGAGGTTGCGGTGAGCCGAGATCGCGCCATTGCACTCCAGCCTGGGCAACAAGAGCGAAACTCCGTCTCAAAAAAAAAAAAAAAAAAAAGAAATACTTAATAAACCTCTAATATTTGCTGCACAAAATTTCCACATATTCTTAAGACTCTACGATAGGAAAAGAGCATGAGAAAGTCAGCTGGGAGACCTGGCCCCGCCATTTTCCAGTCACGCCACCTCCCTGGGCCTCCACTGCTGAAATGACATTGATGAACTCAGCGTCCGAGGCCTCCCTGAGTTCAAGTGCTCTGGGATAAAACTGTAAAGGGATAGAGCGGGCAGCGTTTAAAGACTTTAGGGAGGCGATTTGTCCAGCTGAAGAAATCTAATTCACCAAGAGTTACCGAGCCCCCACAGCAGGCGAGGGGAGCTCAGCACTGAGATGGGGTGAGACAAAGATGAGACACGCAGGTCCCCTGATCTCAGAAGCTGACCACGGCACACCATCAGCAAAGTGGCTGGAGCACAGGCTGGAGGTGGGATGAGGTGTGGAAAACTCCATGGGAGTAAAAGGGGAGGGGAGGGAGCAATGGAATCCACAGTGATCCTTCTTTTTTGTACTTGATACTTGTAATGTGCTTTACAACCATCGCCGTCCTGTGTGTGGGTTAAGCTGTTAACTTGCAAAGGGGCTTTCACTCTAGCATTATTTCATGCAATGGTACCATAAGAAAGGCAAAGTGGGCCCCTTTGAGGAAGAAAACTGAAACCCCAAAGACATTTAAGTGAATCACTTACAGTAAGGACCCGATACTGAGCTTGCAGAGCTTAGTGCATAATGAAAATACGGGCAGTGGCCGGGTGCGGTGGCTCACGCCTGTAATCCCAGCACTTTGGAAGGCTGAGGCTGGTGGATCTCAAGGTCAAGAGTTCAGGACCAGCCTGGCCAATATGGTGAAACCCCGTCTCTACTAAAAATACAAAACTGAGCCAGGTTGGTGGCAGGCGCCTGTAATCCCAGCTACTCAGGAGGCTGAGGCAGAGAATTGCTTGAGCCCAGGAGGTGGAGGCTGCAGTGAGCCAAGATTGCACCACTGCCCTCCAGCCTGGGTGACAGAGGGGGAATCCATCTCAAACAACAACAAAAAAAATGCGGGCACCTTGTTAAAAATTAAGAAGTTCAAGAAGGTGAGCACAGAGCATTAAATCAAGCATAGGGCCCTGTGCCACTGCTTCTGCAGCCAACTGCTAGTTACCACCTGCCCCCTCACCCCCATCTGGCCCTGGTAAACTGTCCCAACACCTCTTGATCTGAATGGAACCCACACCACGCCAGAGGGTTGCCTCCTGGAACTAAGACAAAATGAGCTGGGTCAACAGGGAGCTGACCATAGGTTCATAATCACAACCTCTTCATTGAAACTTCAATGTACTGACTCCCTCATAAGTAACTTATCTCATTTCACTCTTTCGATAATGGCACACAGAAAAGATTATTACATTACACTATCTAAAATTATGTTCACGACTATTTTTAACAAGAAAAATATTAGGATATTGCTGGGTGCGCCTGTGATCCCAACACTTTTGGAGGCTGAGGTGGGCAGATCATCTGAGGTCGGGAGTTCGAGACTAGCCTGACCAACATGGAGAAACCCTATCTCTACTAAAAATATAAAATTAGCCAGGCGTGGTGGTATATGCCTCTTATCCCAGCTACTCAGGAGGCTGAGGCAGGAGAATTGCTTGAACCTGAGAGGCGGAGGTTGCAGTAAGCCAAGATTGTACCATCGTACTCCAGCCTGGGCAACAAAAGCAAAACTCTGTCTCAAAAATAAAACAAAAGTAAATTAAATTTAGAAAAGGAAAATATTAGGATATCACGTTAAATAGAAATGAAAAGAATTGAGCAAAAATGACAGATTGAATGTATGCATATACTTTTGCTCTTCTCCAAAATCCCGTTAAAGACAACAGCACAAGAAGTTTTTAGGTGGCATAAACCCTGTAGAAGGACAAAGAGAAAGGGAAAGGAGGCATCAGCCGCAAAGTGTAGGTAACCAGACAGCTGGAAGATGGTGACCTGGCTTCAGAGCTGATCAGTCTTAGACCAGCAGCAGAAACGATTGAGATACAACCTGGGCTTCTCACCAGAAGCCACCAGAGACTCTGCAGTAGAAGAGCCTGGTACCCCTGGAAGTGAGAGCTGAAGTCAGGTCCCAAAGAAAGAAGATCAGGTTCGAAGTCTAAAGACCAGAACCTTGACCCACACCCATGCCACACAGCAATTACCTCTGCTCCCCACCTGTAAGAAACTGAGGCTTATTCACTGGAGGGGGTTCAACCATGCCCCTGAACTGGAGTACCTCAGGCACAGCTGAGGCAGGGAGGTGGCAATCAGATGAGTGATGAATGCTGATTCTCTCTGTTCCAGGAACTGAGAATTTCCTTTTCTGTAGGCTTTCATAGCTCCAGACAAATCGATAATGTGCAGTCATGAACATTCATGAATAATCATGAATCGGAAAGGGGAGGCACCAGTGAGATGCATATTTTATAGCAACGTCCCCAAAAGCTAAGTGTGCTCAACACACACTCAGAACTTCTGGTCAGCTTGTGTCTCCAGACCATCAAGAAAAGTCCCAACATGCAAGATAAACACACACACCCTAAAACAAAAAGGACACTATGAAAGAAGAAGACATACCCCCCAACATAAAAAATAAAAAAATAAAAGCTATCCAGCACTTGGGGACACTAAGGCAAGAAGATCGCTTGAGCCCAGGAGTTCAAGACCAGCCTGGATAACAAAATGAGACTCCATATTTTTAAAAACATGTTAAAATAGCCAAGTGCGGTGGCATGCACCTGTTGGTCCCAGCTACAGAGAAGGCTGAGGGGGAAGGACCACTGAGTCCATGAGATGGCAGCTACAGTGAGCCATGTTCATGCCACTGCACTCCAGCTGGAGTGACTGAGCAAGACTGTCTCAAAAAGACAAAAAAAAAAAAAAAAAGATTGATCCCACGGTATCTAAGAAAAGCCGTTATCCTGCAAAATAGAAACAGAACAAAATTGTAAAAGCCAAAATTAAGAGATACCTGTAAAAGTGGAAAAATAAAGCCACATTACAGAATTCATCCATTTGAAAAAACAAAGAGCAAACAGCTCTGGGAAATTAAAAACGTGGTAGTAAAAATGAAAAATTCTATTGAAGGCTTGGAAAACAAAATTGAGGATCTCCCCTAAAAGAGCAGGGTCCAGGGTCTGAGAGCTTCTGGCTCAAAACAGGAATGACCACCCCCCAGCCCCCAGCCCAACCTGGCCACATGACCACAGAGTACGACGCCTCAGCCAGCCCTAAGGGCCCTAGCAGATCTCTCTCTACCTGGTCCCCAAGGCCCCAGAAGCTCCAGACAACTCCTTCCCTCCTGACCTCTTGCAGGGGCCAGGCACGCTGCCTGGTGTGACTGCAAAGGCCACAACTCCCTCAGTGCCACAAACTCTCTGGGGGAGGAAAACGGTAACTGAAATTCACACTAATGAACACATGGGGCCCAGAGTCTTCCTGGACTCTCCCAACTCAATCACAACAGAGTACAGCGTAGGGGATGGAGTATGGAGACAAAGAGATTGCAGGTCGTGAGGACGCCATCCATCTGGTTCACAACGGGGGTCTCCCCAGAGCCTGCTGAATCCTAACCATCTTCCCATTCCCCTTACCATACCGAGCATGGCAAATACTCTTTACAGCTAATAAAAGACAGCCTCGAGTCATGCCAAATATTTAGTCTCTTCACAGAGTCCTTTCAGTCACAAAATGGCAGGGTAATAGGCTCAAGCTCAGGAGTTCGAGACCAGCCTGTGCAACCTGGCAAAACCCCACCTCTAGAAAAAAATTCAAAGTCCCAGCGAGGTGGCTCTTGCTCCTAATCCCAGCACTTTGGGAGCCTAAGGCAGGCGGATCACCTGAGGTCAGGAGTTGGAGACCAGCCTGGCCAACATGGTGAAACCCCGTTTCTACTAAAAATACAAAAATTTAGCCAGGCGTGGTGGCATGCACCTGTAGTCCCAGCTACTCAGGAGGCTGAGGCAGGAGAATCGCTTGAACCTGGGACAGGGAGGCTGCAGTGAGACCAGATTTGGCCACTGCACTCCAGCCTGGGAGACAGAGTGAGACTCCATCTCAAAAATACAAAATACAAGCCGGGTGCGGTGGCTCAAGCCTTTAATCCCAGCACTTTGAGAGGCCGAGGCGGATGGATCACGAGGTCAAGAGATTGAGACCATCCTGGTCAACATGGTGAAACCCCGTCTCTACTAAAAATACAAAACATTAGCTGAGCATGGTGGCGCGTGCCTGTAATCCCAGCTACTCAGGAGGCTGAGGCAGGAGAATTGCCTGAACCCAGGAGGCAGAGGTTGCGGTGAGCCGAGATCATGCCATTGCACTCCAGCCTGGGTAACAAGAGCGAAACTCCGTCTCAAAAAAAAAAAAAATACAAAATACAAAATACAAAATAAATAAATACAAAAATTAGCTGGGCATGGTAGCTTGTGCTCGTAGTCCCAGCTACTTGGGAAACTGAGATCTTGCCACTGCACTTCAGCCTGAGCAACAGAGCAAGACTCCATCTCAGAAAAAAAAAAAAAAAAAAAAAAGACACGAAATGGCAGGGTAGAAAGAGATGGCAGGAAGGTCCCAGGGAACCCTGTCCCAATGAAATGGGCAGCAGCGCAAGACCCTGAGCCAGGGAAGCTCCCCAGACCCAGACACACCCTACAAGCCAGGTGCTGCTTCAACCAGAAGATGGCGCAGACAACCCCTAGAGTCACCCTGCCGAGCAAAGCAGCAGGTGGGGGAGCAGGAGCCGGGACCTGAGGAAAGAAAGGGGACTGTCTTTGCCCTAGCCTCAGAATCTCAGGACGGGAAAACCAGTAAAGGATCTGCAGAAATTCCTTTGCCGCCCTGCAGCACTTCAGCGACTTGTAAGTCGCTGCCCTCTCCGAGAGTGTTAGATGAATGAAAAGTGCTGTCATTTAAATTAATGTGTTTAAAGGCAAATAATTCTGTTAAGTGTCTAGGGCAGGGGACAGGAGAAGAATGCATCCTGAAGAGTGCTGTCCAGGAGAGGGCATGGGAGTCCCAGCGGCTCAGCCACAGAGGCACCAAGCAGGTCCCGTCGCTGCTTCCAGGACTGCACTGCGTTTCACTGAGGAAGGGACACGAGAACGGGGTCAGAGCAAGTAGTTGGCTGCTTCTTACCCACTGGGAGGTTCTCTAAAGGCAAGAGCATTCACTCATTCGTCCTTGGGCTCAAGTGAGCAGCAGTCATCAGCCACAGCACTGCGTTGGGCGAGAATTGCCTCAACTCACCGTCCAGTGCTCCCCAGAAAGTTCAAACACAAACGCACTGCTCCGTTTGCCTCTGTCCTTGGGACGTGAACTCTGCCCTGTGAGAGCGTTCCTTTCTATCTTGTCCAGCAGCCGCACACTGGTGTCTAGGAAGCCATTCTTGCAGTACACCGCCTGGGGGATGCCCTTCCTCCTGCATTCGGCCACAAAGTTCCACTCTTCCTTTATCCTAAAACCAGCAGCAGAGGTCACAGTTACTCTCCTGGCGAGTGGCCGTCACCTGCCTAGGGAAGTGAGTCAGCCACCTGGGCATGGGCAGTCTCCTTGGCATCCCCAGGCCTTCGTAAGCACTCCCTTCCTCTCTCCTCCCTGCTATGGGGGTGTAGGGAAAACCCTAAACCATTTTGTGAAGGATTAGTAACTTTAACTTAGAAAGTGGAGAAGATGGGTTAGATGGAATTTCTGGCTATGTGTGTAATTATAATTTCCTTTGAAATTATATATTGTGCCAACCTAAGTTTTTTAAAAATGCAGGACCACAGGGATTCACTGATCTTTTAGGGGCATTTGAATAGAAATACAGAGGAGCCCCAGTGTATAAAACACCTGACTTTGGAATGTCAACCGTCAGCCACCTTGGGGAATTTCACTCCTGTAGATGGACCTAAGGTCCACTCAGACAGTGGAGCTGGCTGAGGACTCAGCATCCCCACCAAACCTCACCACCCATATGTCACTAATTCTCTGACCGCTCCTTTTTTTTTTTCTTTTTTAGACGGAGTTTCGCTCTCGTTACCCAGGCTGGAGTGCAATGGCGCGATCTCGGCTCACCGCAACCTCCGCCTCCTGGGTTCAGGCAATTCTCCTGCCTCAGCCTCCTGAGTAGCTGGGATTACAGGCACGTGCCACCATGCCCAGCTAATTTTTTGTATTTTTAGTAGAGACGGGGTTTCACCATGTTGACCAGGATGGTCTCGATCTCTTGACTTCGTGATCCACCCTCCTCGGCCTCCCAAAGTGCTGGGATTACAGGCTTGAGCCACCGCGCCCGGCCCTGACCTCTCCTTTTATAGCTTTCCCCTCCATAGCTTATCCCCCAGCTTGATGCTAAGCTCCGTGATGACAGCCGGCATGTCTCACAGACCTTCAGATGCCCACAGAGCTGTCAGAACAGGGCTCTGCACCTGGCGGGCCTTTCTTCATTCAGGAATTTGTTTTCTGTTTGAGGCCTTTAACATATTCCACGTGATGCAAAAACAAGATTTTTTGTGGTTTTCCTTCAAAACTATCCAACACAAATGTTGTCTGACTCAAAACAAGGTAGCCTACCTTTGATGGGGCTTAGATGCATTCCACACTCAGAAAAGCATTCCAGACCCTACCCAGCCCAATTGGGAACCAGGTGGCAGTCAGGATCCAGGTCTTTTGGGGGCTACTTTAAAAACAAGTTGCAGGTGCAGAACTGGTCTCCACACAGCCCCAGGCAGTATATACACTAAATAAGTGTAAGGTAAGCCCCGTGGTCAAAGAAGAATCCCAGTGTGGACACTCTCCACTGTTATCTGAAGGAAGGGTGATTCGGAGTCTCAGTCTGGCTGCAGGGTGGCACTGCGGGGCACAGGGAAGCCTGCCAGTGGAGTGGTTAGGAGGGGTCTGAAGGTTTACTGCACTGGAACAAGAGCATCTTCCAGGGCTGGGCATGCAGGAAGTCCTGGTCTGGACCACCAGGCACTGTCAAGTGCAAGGAGAAATGTAAGACTTTGAAAGAAGCAAAACACAGCAGGATAGCCTTTTCCTGAAATGCTGGAACATCTAGGGGATTCTCCAGTTCTGTAGGAATTCACCTTTGACTTTGACTAAGCTATTTTATGACTCTGTAGAAATCATAGTTAACTTGTAGAAAACTGATAGCCTTTATAGCCATACAAATAATTTTTATGCATAAACACCCATAAATTCTGCCCAGTGGAGGGACAACCCCCTCCCATCCCAGAAACACCAATTTGCTCCATTTTCTTTTTCTTTTCTTTTTTTTTTTTTTTTTTTTTTTTTTTTTGAGACAGAGTTTTGCTCTGTCACCCAGGCTGGAGTGCAATGGCACAGTCTCAGTTCACTGTAACCTCAAGCGATTCTCTTGCCTTAACCTCCCGAGTAGCTGGGATTACAGCTGCCTGCCACCACACCTGGCTAATTTTTGTATTTTTAGTAGAGGTGAGGTTTCTCACTGTTGACTAGGCTAGTCTTGAATTCCTGACCTCAGGTGATCCACCCGCCTTGGCCTCCCAAAATGTTGGGATTACAGGCATCAGCCACTGCACCCAGCAACTCCATTTTCAAATGTATCCAATGTTCCTGGTCTCTCAATGTCTGTCCTTTGGATTCTCCTTTGAGCTGGTTGTAACATTTTACAGTTTCCCTCCTGTAAATAATGAGAAAAATAAATTGTCTAATGAGTGTTCCTTTTGTATCTGCTACAGAATCATGATTTTTGCCTTTTTTGAAAATTCTCCTTTAATACAAGTTAGAGTCAGAGGATCAGCAGGAGCACTGAGAGGCAAGGAGAGACAGCCCAACCTCCTTCCCTGGGCCCTTCTTATCTCGGGATTTTCAGGGCTCAGTGAGTTGTGTTCACCTTTTATCTATGTAATTCCATTTGCTTTCAATCCTATCTGATTTTGGCTTCACCCACTGGGCACTCAGCATTAGTTCTTGGCTTCATATGGTCACAGGTTCAAACACAGGAGTTAAATGGAATTAAGACTTTTGTTGGCCGGGCACGGTGGCTCAAGCCTGTAATCCCAGCACTTTGGGAGGCTGAGGCGGGTGGATCACGAGGTCAAGAGATCAAGACCATCCTGGTCAACATGGTGAAACCCCGTCTCTACTAAAAATACAAAAAGTTAGCTGGGCATAGTGGCGTGTGCCTGTAACCCCAGCTACTCAAGGAGACTGAGGCAGGAGAATTGCCTGAGCCCAGGAGGCGGAGGTTGCGGTGAGCCGAGATCGCGCCATTGCACTCCAGCCTGGGTAACAAGAGCGAAACTCCGTCTCAAAAAAAAAAAAAAATTAGCTGGGCATGGTGGCGCATGCCTGTAATCCCAGCTACTCCGGAGGCTGAGGCAGGAGAATTGCCTGAACCCAGGAGGCGGAGGTTGCAGTGAGCCAAGATCACGCCATTGCACTCCAGCCTGGGTAACAAGAGCGAAACTCCATCTCAAAATATATATATATATTTCATGGCTCCCATTGTAATCACCTCTGGCATGCATCCTTAACCCCCTTGCCCCTGTCTTGCTGTCACTTGAACAAATCACAATTTAGTTTATATCCCACTCTCCCCCTGCTCTACACCTGCCCCCACACAGTAAATGAGATGAAGGAACACTCACAACTTTGTACACTGATCTGGCTTTGAATGGACAACCACTAACCTAAGGGCCCCTCACTATTGCCCAGTAGTCATTCCATACTTCCCAAGACCATTCCTTTTCCCAAGCCCCAGATGACTGTTTCACATCTTCTCCCTTTCAGTCAAACCTCCATTACCACCCATCTCATCCTCATTCTCAACTCATGACCTTAACTTCCTGGTTCACAGAGAAAAGAGATGAAAGAAAACATAACTCCCACAAACTCCATGGGCATCTACACTACCTACTTGCATCTGTTCCGATAGCCTCTGCCTTCCTTTCTGTTCCCCTGGAAGAACACTCCAAGATCCCATCGACGGCCAAACCCAGAACAGCTGGAAGGACTGCCCAGTCACAGTCACCTCCTTGCTCTTTATTGATCACAAAGGCCAGCCTTCCACTGATTCAAAGATATTGCCATGCTGGGCGCGGTGGCTCAAGCCTGTAATCCCAGCACTTTGGGAGGCCGAGGCGGGTGGATCACAAGGTCGAGAGATCGAGACCAACCTGGTCAACATGGTAAAACCCCGTCTCTACTAAAAATACAATAAATTAGCTGGGCATGGTGGCGCGTGCCTGTAATCCCAGCTACTCAGGAGGCTGAGGCAGGAGAATTGCCTGAGCCCAGGAGGCGGAGGTTGCGGTGAGCCGAGATCGCGCCATTGCACTCCAGCCTGGGTAACAAGAGTGAAACTCTGTCTCAAAAAAAAAAAAAAAAAAAAAAGATATTGTCACAACAGATCTCCCTTGTCGGTATTCCCTTGTGTGCATCATCCTCTTCAGCACACAAACATGCAGTTATTTCTCCCGTATTAAAGGGAACCCCACCTCAATCCCATGTCTCCCATGGGCCGCTTTCTCTGCTCCATTTTATAGCAAAACTCCACGAAAGAATTGTCCTAGCTACAGTTCTCTTCTCCCTCACTCTCTGTTGAATCCACTTCGGTCACCCTCACTCATCTCTTGAAACAAGCCTCTCATCAAGGTCATCAATGGCGACCACTTTGCTAACCCAGTGGGGAAACCCCAGTCCTCATCTTATCTGATCCATCTGTAGCATTTGACACAGCCAATCACTTCCTCCTCCTCAAAGCCTTTTTTGCACTTGGCTTCCAGGACACCTCGCTCTGCGCTTACCCTCCTACCTTTCTAGATCCTGTGCTGCTTCCTCCTCATCTTCTCAGCCTCTGGATTTCCAAGTGCCCAACACCCAACCCTTGGGCCTCTTCTCTGTCTGCACTCTTTTTTTAGATATCTTCCAGATCGCAGCTTTAAATACATCTATATGCTGACCATGCCCACATGTATATCTCCAGCTAAGACTTTCTCACTGAATCTAGACTCTTGTATAAAATTTCCTCTCCAACATCTCCACCTGGATGTCTAAAAGGCAACTCAAAGTTAACGTGTCATCCCAGTGACAAACTTCTGATCAGCACAAACTCCAGATCTTTGGCCCCGCAATTCAGTAAAAGGCTTCCAGCAGCTCCAAAAAACTCAGGGTCATCTTTGACTCCATGCTTGCCTTCATACCACATATCAAATCCATCAACAAATATGGCCAGTTCTATCAGAATCCAGCCACTCCTCACCATCTTCACTGCTTCCACCCTAGTCGAAGCCACCATCTTCTGCTTACTGGCACCCCCTCCAACCCCCCCACCCTCCGCCTCCCTGTGGTCCAAACTTACCCAGCAGTTTGAGTGAGCCTCTTACAATGTTGATCACATCATGTCTCTGCCCACACACACCTCTTACTGGCTTCTCTTCTCACACAGTACAATCTGCAAGGCCCTAACAACCTGCGTCCCTCCCCTTG